AAAAAAAAAAAAAATAATGGAAATAAAGAAAAGAAAATGAACACATCAAAAAAAGAAAGAAAAATAGATGAAATAAATTTTGAAGAGAGAAAAAGTGAAATCTGAAAGAACAAAAAGAAAGAAAGAAAAGAAAGATGATAAAAAAAAAGAAAAAAAAAAAAAATAATATTTCATGAAGAAAATTCAAAATTTAATTTTGAAGCAGCCAGGGAATGAAAGAAAGCTTCCCTTCAGAACTGAAAGAAAGAAAAGATGAAAAAATTTTAACTTACTATTTTTCATGGAAAAGAAGAGAAATTATAAATCCTGGGAACGAAAGAAAGAAAGATGGACATATTCGTTCAAAGCAGAAGAAGGTAAGGACAGGATTAAACTAAAGAAAAAAAAACTGGAAAAAATGGCCAAAAGAAAGAAAGAAAGAAAGAAAGCGCCTTAAGAAAAGGTGAAAAAGAATAAAACAAAGATTTAAGGAATTTTTTGTTAAAAGAAGGAAAGAAAGAAAGACAAAGATAGATATCCCCAGATAGATAAAAATTATAGAAAGAAAGAAATGAACAGACTGAGATAGATAGATAGAGATAGATAGATATAGATAGATAGATAGATAGATAGAAAAGAACAGATGAGATAGATGTAAAAAGCTCCAAAAGGAATTTGTTGACGAAAAGAAAGAAAGAGAAAAGATGAGGTCTAGGAAACAAGAGAGAAATGTGAAGAAATAAACAAAGAAAGAAAGGACTTATTGGTTTTGAACAATCTATCGTAGAAAAAAAAGAATTAGGATATTGATCGTCTTTCTTAAAAAGGTGATTGAATATATATTTAAAATGAAACATAAAATTAATTGAGTCTATACCACTTAACAGTAAGCAAAATTCAGTCGCCTGATGACATTGATCAAAGGGAATAATAAATGTTTTTTAAACATCTGTAATGTAAAACCTTTTATTTTTTTTGGAAAGGAAAAAATATTCAATGAAAAAGCAGAAGGAATCAAAATCATTGAAAAGCAGCCATTGAAACACAAGATGTTAAAAAAGAAAAAAAACACAAGATATTCTAAGAAGCCAGGAAACAAGATAAAAAAAAAATGGAAAGATAGAGGAAACACGATATTTTCTTCAAAGGAAACATGAAACTCGTTGACCGATTAAAGGAAAAGAAAAAGATTTCAATGACCGAAAGTCAGGAAACAAATATTATTCAATCGTGTTTAAAAAAACACAAGATATTGAATTTGTCAAAGCAACCAGGAATTTTTTTATAGGAAAATCGAAAAAGCAGCCTGAATTGCGATATTTTAAATCTTTGAAGGAAAAAAAAGATATTCAATGAAAGCAACCAGGAAAAAGGATATTCTATGAAAGCAGCCATAAACATCTTTCTGATGATTAGCAGAATTTTAAAATATAAGATATTCAATGAAAAATTTTTAAAAAGTGGAATTTTTTTTTGAAAAAAAAACTTTCAAAAAATTAATAATAAGGTTCGTAAATGATTATTTTTAAAATTTTTTTGGATTTTTGCTAAATTTTCTGAAAAACCGAAAAATTTCTTTTTAAATTTTTTTCAAAAAGAAATGAAAATTTAAAAAAGCTTGCTTTTAAAACATCACGAAGAAGAAAAAATTATTAATTTAATCTTTCTTTATTTATGATTTCTTCAAAAGGGTCGAAATTTTTTATTTACCCAGTTTTTTTTCAGAATTTTTTTTTTTATTTTTTATAAATAACGATACAAGATTTAATTAAAATTTTTTTTTTTTTTTCATCAATAAATGATTTTTCTGTTTACAATAGTTTAGATTATATTTTCTTTCTTCGAAAAGAAATGTTTTAAAATGAAATTTTCAGTTTTTAATTTAGCGAGACAAGATTGAATTTCTTTATTTCTAAAATTTTTAAAGGAAAAAAAATGATTTTTATTTAACTATACCTTTTATTATATGTTGCAATTTGAAATTTCTTGAAACATTCAAAAATTTGCTTCGATTTCCTTTTATCAGTTTTAATTGATTTTTCATACAATTTGCTAAAACAAATAATTTCAAAAAAATTTTTTTTTAAATTCTTTCCTTTAAAAAATTTATTTAATTAAGAAACATTAAATTTTTTCATTTAAAAATTTCACATATATTTTATATTTATTCAAAAATTCTACAAATCTATCTTTCTAAAAAAATTAAATTACATAAAATGTTTTTCGGATCTTGTCTATTTCATTATAACAGTTATTTCAGTGGAAAATATCCTACAAAATGTCCCATATGCAAGTTCATATACAAAATTGCTTCCTGTAATACCTTTCCCAAAAATCAATCAACCAAACTTTTCATTTCAATATAAGCAAATATAACAGAACAATAACAGACATGATGTAATTAAAATTTTAGAGAAACAAGAGCAAGAAAAAAGACACTGTTAATTTTCAGAGAACAATAAAAGAACAGATATTAAAAAGACAGAGGTTAACGATTGTCATTGCATTTAATGTTTTGATCTAATTTGTTTGGAAAGCAAGAGGCCCGAAGAGGGTTCCACAAATAAGTAGTGCGGGAGATGAAACTGTTAGCATAGAACTTGCATCTACATCTAGCCATTTCAACTATAAAATAACGAGACCTAGCCGCCAATCTAGTACTGCACTTAAATTCATAGCGTCTAGGTACAATGGAGGAGAGTTAACCAGAACATTTATCAAGAAATTATTTATAGAAAAGACACAATGACTGAAGTGTAGATGTGAGGACCAATAAAATTACTGATTCATCTTTACATTTTATCAAGGATCTCTAAATATACGCGAGGATCACCAGACCAGATGTGGTAGCAATATTCTAAACCCTCTTGAAAACATTTGATTTTAGTTCTTTATCCAATTCCTTCTTATTTCTGACTGTTTCCTCTAATTTGTTCTCGGATTTAGTCTTCATTTTTGTTCCTTTTCTTCCATTTAGTTTGTCATTCTTTCATACACAAGCAACGCTCGATTAACCACTGATTCACATTTCGATAAAAACAACGAAAATAATTCCTTATTTTTACCACTTTGATTAACAAATGAACAGTTTGATTAAACAGTGTGCAACAATTTTTTTTGACTTACGTCAGTAAAAGTTACTTGCTAAATGCTTTTGTCTAGACAGCAAACGAAATAACTATTATTCCCTTCAAATTTTGCTTTTGGTGATTTGAACATCGAGGTTTTGAAACATTGATGATTTTGAAACATTAATGTTTTTTGAAACATTGATGTTTGAAACATTGATGTTTTGAAATCAACTACATTACATTCCAGACAGATTCAGCGCTGAGTTGCTGAAAGAGAATTTTCTAGAAGTTCCTAAAAGTTTCAAGAATGTCTAGAATGTTCTGGCAACAGATGGCAGTATAAATACAGTGAACGTAAGTACAACAGTTCAAAATTCAGATTTGAGTAGCCGAAAGAGAATTTTTCTATAACTTTCTAGGAGTTTCGAGAAGTTTCAAGAATTTCTAGAATTATTTGCATTATAATGTCGATTATTTTATTATGCTCATTTTATTATAATGTCGATTATTTTCTTGGAAGCTTGGTTAATTTCATTTTTCATTCTTATTATTATAGACCGATGAAAATATTTACTTTTTTGTAGATCTTGTAAAAACTCTGTGTAACAAAATTTTGATGTTTTTTGTCTTTGGTTAGTAAGTCTTATTTCCAAATTGGTTTTTCCAGAAAAGCAAAGAAAAAATATTATTCCTTCAAAACTTTATTTTTTAACCTGGACAAGACTTAAAATATTTTCAGGAAATTCGTAATCTACTTCTGCATAGTGGATCCTAAAAAACCTATATATCATTTCTCGGGCTTATTCAATCATCTATCCAGACCTTCTGTCAATTTTTAGAGTGATTCAAAATTTGAGCCATACGTATAAACTTTGAAAATGTTTAATTCATCGACCGGATCAGTGATCTTCGTGTCACAAAGTCCAATGTCGAAACTCAAGCAATGGAATTTGTAAGATGAAAGCGTGCAAGTCTTAGAGAAAACGTCACTTGCGTTTATCAAACTTTTTCATCCTTCAAGATGCCACAGTGTAACCGGTCTGTTCGGGGGAATTGGAATCGGCCGTAACCCCAGCGTTTGGCGCATTTTCATTGACATTGTTGTTCATGATGACGGTCGTCTTTGAGTATAGAATCCAGAGGTTAGCAGTGAATATTTCGAAGACAGTAGGAAAGGGTTGTTCAGGTTAGCAGTGGATATGCTGGTAAAAGTAGCAGAGCGTAGTTCAGTAGTTCTTCCTTCTGTTCTTTCGCCTGACAAGTTGGCACTGGACATTCGGAGAGAGTAAACAAAATGGCCGCCTTTATACACGACGGATTGAATATTCTACGTCTTCTGATTGGTTAACCTTCTATGGGTGGACTATAAAGGGAGTCAAGTCATTTGGGCTAGCTCACTAGTGCACGATACACAAAAAACTGCAACATACATGTCATCCAGGAGCATCAAAGATCTTTTCCCCTGGCCCACTCGGTGCAGCTCGAAGAGGGATTATACAGTGTCAAGATCTTGCTAGACGACGGTTAGGACGCTAGGTTAGGAGAATTCAAAATAGTGGCCTTCCTGGTGAGTCTCCAGTTACACCAAGTTTCCGTGTTATCTTTGCCTTTGGTACAACAGTAACACCGCGGCACTCTACCACAAGCGGGACTGGCCGCAGCGGACTATATTCAGTGTAGGGAGGAACAACTGTTGAACCCCTGGAAAGTATTGTTTTTTCCACTGCACATAAAACTGGGTTTTATGAACCAATGTGTCACAAATCTACCTTAGGAGTCTGCCACCCTCAGTTACTTTCAACACTTCTTCCCTAAGCTGCCAAAATCCAAAGCCGGTGTCTTCGTCGGACCACAAATAAAGTTGATAGAGTGCAAAGAAATTCCCGAAGAAGCTCACTAGGACGAGGAATGCAGCGTGGAACAATTTTGTCACAGTGGTTCGGGGCTTCCTGGGGAATCACGAGGCTGAAAATTATGTGGAGCTTGTTGAGACCAGTGTGCCGCGCGATCTTCTTAAGCGTGCCGTGAAATATTGTATATATATATATATATATATATATATATATATATATATATATATATATATATATATATATATATATATATATATATATATGGCAATAAAAAACAGCGTTAGTATTTGAATAAATTAATAAGTATTAAACTTTTTTCAAATATTAAATTTTCACTATTTTTGATTATGTTATTTTAAATACTTTGTTTTAATATTGATTTTTTTTTAAAATAAAAATATTTTTAACGGCTTAAAATAAAACATTCGACGCTACCCATTAATACATTTTGGATTTCAATACAGAAGGAATATCTGACATTAGCTAAAAAGGCTTTCTCAGTTTTATTGACATTTTCTACTTCCTATTTATGTGAATTAGGCCCCTCAACCCTAAAAAAAATCAAAAATAAGAAGCGAGAAAGACTACGCTCAACTGAAGAAGAAGAAATGAGGGTCTGCTTATCGCATATTCGATCAAATATGGAAGAAATCGTGTAAAAAAACAAGGCACAGGTTTCAAACTAAATAAGCTACAAAAATAGTTGAATAGAAACATTGAAATAAACTAAGTTTGTATTTGTGTGTGTATTTTTTAAAAAAAATCTATGGATTTATTTTATAACATT